ATGCATATAATCTCATAACATATAGCACATAACGTTTAATACATTTAACATGTAATGCACAATGGATGCAATGACCTAGACTCATGCCCCTCAAGCCCTAGGTAAAACGAACACCTAGGCTCTGATACCAAGTGCTTATTATTGTTTTCCCTTACTTCCAACATGAACCCGATTGTGTGTATATATGGCTTATAGAGATTGGTGAATGTCACTCTCTCTCGAGTTCAATGCAAGAAGTGGGGAAATTTATGTGGCTAAAACAAAAGCATGCGTGTGTGCAAAAGCTCTCCCTAGTGTGTAGAGAGATTTTGCAATGTCGGGTGTTTAAAGAGGGATTTGTGAAAAAACAAATTGAAAAATCTTGTGATTTGAAGTTTGGTGAGTTGTGAGTTAAGAAATATACAAGAAAGCAAGGTTCGCTAATCCATAGAGGTCATTCCAATGGGAATACCAAATTAATTCATTTCATTCAACCAATGGTATCTCAGTGTTTGATTGATTCGTAGGAAGTGAGAGACTAATGTAGTTGTGTTGGGCAATAGCATACCCTGTGACAAGTCTACGGTGTTTCAAAAACCCACAACAATATCCGCACTCAACCTAGTCAAACCAAACACTTTATACTATGAGGACGAATGAAAGAGATATGATTTCACATACCTAAGAGGAAATCCCTCTTGAATTAGTCAACTAAAAGTTTAGCTATGCATGATAAAAGAAAGAACAAACATGAAATAGAGAAACATGGTAGTGAAATCAAGCATGGATTTGTATCAATGTAAAAGAAGGTTTAAACTACAAAAGAAAAACTATTCATACACAAAATGTAAAGCTTAAAGGAAATAGAACCCTAATGTAGAAATGAACCACAAGAAAACTTAACTAAACTTAATTATAACTTGATTAAAAGAGATTAAAGTGCAAAAGGGAAATATTACATGTGAAATAGAGCTTACTACAATGAAAATGGTGAAAAAAAATGTAAAATCTAGCTTTCTCTCTCTAGAACTTCATCTTCTACCTTGGACCTTCTCTCTCTAAAAGTATGATAATCTTAAATTGGTGAAGTAACTCCCCTTTTTGTCCATCCCCCTCTCTCAGCATGAATGACTAACTTGGAGTGATTGGAGAGAGATTGTCTATAAAAGTTTCCAAAAACATTCAAAGTATGGTCCTCCATGCTTTTTCCAACCATTCCCTATCTTTACATTGGGCACCCACTTCCTCATGCTTCAAATCTGAATGCAAGGGTTAGAGGGTCATCATGGAGTGTTAGAAATGTAAGAACGTAGATTCGGTGACAAAAGGTGGGCCCCTGTAGTTGGGGGAGTTGTTCGAAGAACGATCTGAGATTTTTGGGCAGTTGCTACCGGTAGCTCGTAAGGTTGTTACCGGTAGCTCATTTCCAGTAGGGTCCGCTACCGGTAGCTTGTTGAAAGGAGCTACCAATAGCTCATTTCCAATTTTTGTAAATTTGTCATAAATTTTGATTCCATTGTTCGATTGAGCTGCAATTTTGACATAAGATAGAGAACATCTAAATCTACAAGTTTCATGTTTTGAGTTTTTTTAATTCGAAGTGGATCATGGTAAAAAATTCAAAATACTGGGGTACCCATACCAAATGGTGTGAATACCAGTACCTATGATACCAGGTATTGATATCTCCTTGATTTCTTTTACTTTTAAACCTCCAAATCCTCATACAATGTGTCCATCTCTTCACCACTCATCCACACTTAGTTGTAGGGTTCCAAAAGCCGTCATTTACCCTATGATTACCTGCAACATTAAAATTTTCACATTATACACAAATTCGACTAACTCTAAGTAATTAAATGCAAAGGTGAGTCAAAATGCATGTAATGAGGTTGTTAAATATGCAATATTACGTGTTCATCACCAAGCTGTGACGTCTCAAAATCTGGGTGTCCATAATTACCCTGTTAATCACCCATCAATCTGTGGAACACCCGTGGTTACCGTGTGACTCGATACGTTGTCATTATGTCCCATTTACGGGATCTATAAATTAATAAAATTCGGATAGAGTTTTCTTTCTACGGGGAACTATACTCAAAATGTAATCGGTGCAATCATACAACATTGACCACACCGAGTCCATTTATCCATACTCAATTGCATAGTATCAGATACTACCATAATCATCATCGTTATGTACATTCATTCATAAAAGAATAAATGTCCCAAAAGAGTCTCATATACATGCATTTTAATATAAAACAAGTTTTTGTTTACACAAATTATACTAAGGCCAAAAGTAAACATATATAAGGTTCTATAATGTCAAAATAAGAGTCATAGTTCGGATCTGTTGTCAAAGTGGACCCTTAGTCGGACCTTCGATGAAAGCTTGTGCGATACATGAAAGATGTTCCTATAAATGGTAAGTCAATCCTCAATAGGGTAACTCTTATAAAGAATACTTCTCAACCCTTGCATATGAAATGTCACATACAACAACTATTTTATGCATTCATTTAAATATATATTATGAACAAATGTCATAAATCACGTCATGTCATGAGATGAGACTCGTGCAAACAATACCAACACTGAGCCCCACCTGGGGTTCCCACAACACATGTAATGTCATGCGTATGTATCTAGGCATTCCAAGCCTTCGTCATTGGTGCTATGTACACTCAATGACTAATTAATTCATTTTTTTATGTCTTTATGGGGCGATAATTTATGGTATTTCACCAATGAGACACCACACCATCAAGAGATTTTCAGGACATCCCACCCTATGCCTCCAATTTTGCTGTTACACATTTCTGGAATTGCACCGCCGAAAAGTGTATAAACCAAGTAACTGGGTCTTGCACTCAAGGGAGAATCTAACCCTTTTTACTACACCTCGACATGTTTATCCATTTAATTTTTTGGGCGACTCAGCCAAATCTTGGTGCGACTTTTCCAAGCCCACGACCAACCACCTATGTGATGATTGATTTCATACCATGCACACAATCTCACCCATGTGAATGCTCATGAATGTAGTATAACCCATGCATAATGCAATACAATGTGTAATTATATAACAAATGCAAGGTAATGACATTTTCAAAATCATCTCAAGCATGTTATGTAAGATAATCAACTCAACTAATATATTTGTATTCACCTAGACATTTAGAAAAATACCTAGAGAGCACATCAATGTACACAATTAGCATGCTCATTACTTGCAACATGACAACATGCTTATTAATTCTATAAATATAAACACAAGTCCACCACACTAATCATATGGTAAATAATCATTTAACATATATATTATTTCATAATCACATAACAAGCTAATAATTTTATTAAACTTGATATACCGTTAAAACCATCAAGTCATGCTAATGACAATTAATAAGCTTTAAACTACTAACATTAAGTTAGATTAAGTTAATCATAATAGGATTTTACAACTTATAATGTTAATTATAAGTCTTTTATTTGACCCAATAGTTACACTAGTCAAGACCTAACATGTGATATACACCATTAGTCTACCTATTTTATATGTCATATTTTAAGTTGAAATTATAGCTAAATAAGGGAAATCCTAACTCTTGTGGCATGAGCCCACATAATAGAAATTCAAAGAAAACCTGAATTTAGCTTCATAAACCTTAGTCATAAATTCTCGTCTTTGATATTTTTGGAGAAAAGTGCGGTCTTTGGTATGGTTGTTTAGCTCTCGTTGAGTAGAGTAATTTTAGTTCTTGGCTCGAAGTGATCAAACGGTTTGATCTTTGTAGATCTAAGAAAGAATGAAGGAGAAAAAAAAATAAAAAAACTCACTTCTCTCTCTCTCTCTCTCGGAAGGCTACTAGAGAAGAAAAAAAAAAGTGGAAGACTTTTATATAGTCTAAATGTGTGGCTCATATTGTGTCACACATCTTCTTTTTAACGAGTCCAATTTTATTCCAAATCAGTTAAATCTCGTTCTGTGTTAAGTTTAATATATTTTTATTAAAATAACTTAAAATTATTTTTTAGATCTCACAAAAAAAATTCGATTGTAATTATTTTAGTCGCGTGACACCTTATTACTTCATAACATGGAAAAATCTAACTGTATCAGAATTCCACAAAAATTGACTGTATAGCTAAATTTCAAGTGACGAATCCAATGGTGAGGTCTGTTTCGTCATCTGACTTTTATAAAAATTTACATTTGTGACCCGTGTTTTAACAACTAATTACTGTTTTACTCATTTAATTAAGATTTTAATTTTTCTCGGGTATTGTATTTATTCTCTCTCTTCGCCTGCTAAGCTCCATAGGAGGGTTTCTGCACAACCCTTCACGAATTGCTTGAAGGGGTGAGAAGTATTTCAATAATTCTTTATTTTAGTTGAATTTCTACCCAATCCATCATTTTTTTCAACAACACTCTATTTTTTATCAGTTGGATTTAACCTATCCATTCATGAGTAATGGGTTCTTTGCTATTAGTGGTGCAATAAGTGGGTTTCTTTTACAATTGGGTAATGAGTATATTGGGTATTGAGCTTCTGGTATAGTCAGTTGTTAAAGCACTTGTGAGGTGTTCCAACTTTTCTCTATTTTTTTCATTTCTTGCGCAGCAACACATAGGTAGATACAAATTCACAATTGCTGTTTACACCACCAAGATAAAATTTGGTCGAGAAAGAAACATACTAAACAGAAATTCGCAGGAGAAAAATGAAGAGTAGTAAGGAACTTACCCAAAAAAAATAAGAGCAAGGGTTTGGTCATCTTGTTTTAGTGAAGATCCTGACTATCTCAAAACTGTACCGTTTAAGGTGATGAGATGCCTATGTGTGGTCTGTTTATGGACAAAACGGCGCCGCATAATTTAACAGGACTTACTTCGCCAACCGCAGACGAGCTGCACCCGTTAATGATACGCACAGTGGGACCCATGCACGGGGCAGTGGTTTTCAGAAAATTTTGATCCAGGATCCTTACAAACTGCAAACCGAATACCATCGTCGCCTCCTCACAGCCAGAGAACAACGGAGAAGCCAAAAAAGGCGAACCAAAACCCTCGTCAGTCGAAATTCACTGAAAAAAAATACCATAGGCGAACAGAGAGAGAGGAAATCGAAATGGAAATTGTGTGTCTGATCCTCCTATTCTTATTCTGTACCTTGCCTTCTTCGTCCAACTCTTCTCTACAACCCAATAATACTAGCTGTGGGAATAGAGAGATCATAGATGTGAAGAGTGAACCAGAGGATGTGGTGTGGGTGGTTCAGCTCTCTGATCTCCATTTCAGTGTTCATCATCCTGATAGAGCTCTTGACTTCAAGGAGTTGATGGGTCCTGCTCTTTCAATGATCAATCCTTCCTTGGTCCTCATCACTGGTGATCTCACAGGTTGTGAGTTTGATAACATTTTTAATTTCCTGCTTTCTTACTATAGTTTAGTTGCTTCATGAGTATTTTTGATGTTTAGCCTGATAGGTGTGTTTCTGATGAGTCTTTAGCGCTTCAGTTTTGAGAGGTATATTCTTCTATTAGCCCAACACTTTAATGACCAAAGGAATATGGATTATCTTTTTGAGTCTTGAAGTTTTGTGGTATTCTTTTTTTTTTTTTTCGATTGGGCTAGATTTGGATGAAAAGAGATTTATGCAGAATGAATTGTTTTTTCTTTTCTTTTCTTTCTTTTTTTTTGCTAGTGGCAGAGGAATGAATTTATTCCAATGCCTGAATATGAAATAGAAGTTACTCTTGCAGTTGCTGGTTCATTTGCTGTCCAAATAGTTTACAAGAAAATGAAAGAAAAGATTTTCTTTTCGAATTTGGGAATCAGTTGATGGTTACATGTAGAATTTCTACTGTGCAGTTAACTGCTATCATCATATATGATGTATTGGACAGTTCAGGTAGTTTTTCTTAGAAGGAAACTGAACATGAATGTTGGAATTTTAGCTTCAACTTGCAATTACTTTCAATCAACTTTTTTGGTGGCGGAGTTCTGTATGTGTGGTTCAACGTATCAGTCAATAAAGATACCACTCGGTCTAATTTTGTCCGACTCAACACCATCCGTCTCAATACCCTTCCACTGTCTGTGTAGATTATGACTGTCATGCGACTTGGCCGAGTTATGGAATATGTATATCAATCCCTAGTCATCATCATCCAATCAGCCACTATCGATTTGCGATATCGTAATATTGCCTAAATCCCTCGTTATGTTCAACTTGGTATTTTATATAGAATTTTGTGTGGATCATCCAATACCCTTTTTTTGTGACACTGTCATCGATGCATGTCACTCTCTCAAAGTCAATGGACGATGCAACTGTTAGAGTATTAATATTAAGGATAATTGAGGCATTTCCTTTATTCTGTGTTTCTTTACTATATAAGGACCTACATTGTGTATTCTAGGATAAGTTGTATTACCAATTGGATTAGTCGTAATAATATATTTCACTCATTTCTCTTCTCTACTCTATCTTTTTTTGTCTTTTTGATCAATGTTAACATGGTATCAGAGCATATAATGATCCCTAGCACACTTAAGAAATTGTAGCACACAATAGAAAAAATTTCTTGCCAAAAACTAGGGTTGACGTCATCAAACTGGGATTGACCTCATCACTATAGGGTTGACATTGTCAATCTGGAGTAGGTGAGGACACCGACCTTGTTGATTCTTCATGGTTTTTCCAACGGAATGTTTCGTTTTTGATTTTGTGGTCATCCACTGCGTCTTTCTATTTTTTTAATATTTTTGTAGCTTTTGTCTTGAAATCTTTCGATTTGCAAATTATGATGGTTTTCTTCATATATGAGGCTTGGGTTCTTGTCTAATGGGTGCGATTTGGACTTCTTGGTGATGCTTTGACTGCTTTGAAGCTGTTGGAGAGGATTTGTTTGAGTTTTTTCCAGATCTGGGGGTTCGGCATTCTGGTCTCTGTGTTGGTAGTGATATCTTGGTGATTTGTGTTGCCTTATTTCTTTAGCAGATTTCAACAAAAGGCTCCAACCGAAGCCAAGACAACAATTTTTTATTTGTAGCTTAAATTTTTATTTTTTTTGTTATGTTTCTGAAATGGGTCAAAATATTTCCGAAACACGTCGAAATATTTTTCATTTCCTAGGTGATTGAAACAATACACTGAAACAAAAATTTGATCCTTGAGTAGGGCTACATAAAACAAAGAAAATGGCTAAACTAATCCTAATACTGAAAATACTCGACTAGCAAGAGTTTGCTAAGAAGACAACAAAAACATGCTATGGTGTGAGATTTCGTAAAAAAATTTGCTAACTGCATAGTAGAAGACAGAAAAGGGAGAGAAAGTGTGCTAAGCTGAAGATGATGACGCATAAAGTGGCAGTTAATCTCCATGTGCTTAATGTGCTCATGGAAGATCGCTTTGCGAGCAATCTGAATAACACTAGTATTTTCACAATACATAGGGGTAGTGTAGGCCCAAGCCCGTACTTTGGCTAGTGGTGGGCTGGGCTTCGGGTAGCGGTAAATTACTCGCAGTCCAGTCCGTCACCTATTGGGCGGGCTTTGGTTGGGTCTGTTGGGCGGGCCTGTTTTAGGCGGGCTTGTTGGGCCCTATTGAAAAAATATACAAGATTATTTAATTTTTTTATAAATTATATTTTTGAATTAAAAGTATAGTTAAAATCAAAATGGACAAAAATTAAATAGTGAATTGTATCACTATAGAATAAGTACATCCGAATTAGGTTGGCACCTACCCACCTATCTATCATTTGCACAATTCTATCTATTAAAGACTTTTGTACATGAAAAGCTAAAATATTTAATACATAAAAAAAAAATACATTAGTCTTAATATCTAAAGTCTCCACCTCTTAACATAAACAATATGTTTGATTAAAAAAAAAAACATATATGGGCGGGTATGGGCTTCGGATATGTGGGCGGGTTATTGGGCCGGGTATTTGGGCGGGTTATTGAGCCGGGCTTCGGGTCGGGTAATGGGTTCAAGGGTAAACCCAAACCCTTTCTTAAAGGATATTGGGCTCGGACGGGCCAACTATCGGGCCTATCGGGCTTCGGACCGGGTAACGGGACCCGTGGGTAACCCGGCCCATGGACACTCCTAGTAACTACTATTTGTTTCTACTTTTTCAGGAGATAAGATAATTACCTAGAAAGAGACAGAAATCAGTGGTAGATTTGCGATCCATCCTATCACTAGTCCAATCAGCATCAGAGCAAGTCCTAAGATCCGTAGACGAGGAAGAAGGAAATAATAAACTCTGATGCATAGTACCTCGCAGATATTGAAGATTGTATAGAATAGCAGCCCAGTAAACAGTAGTAGGTGAGGTAACAAACTGACTCACAATGTGAATAGCACAAAGAGATATGTGGACAATTAATAATAAGATATACCAAACTCTCAACAATAGTGCGATATAGAGGAAGGTCAAGTAAGAGAATGCCATCTACAGAAGAATACCGAATATTGAGTTCCATAGGTGTTTCAACTATTCGATTATCTAATAAACGGGCTAGTTGAATAGCATTCGATGCATATTTGTATCGAGAAAGAAGATAACTTTTGGGAGAAGAAGTAACTTCAATCCCTAAGAAATATTGAAGCTGATCTAAATTTTTCATCTCAAAATAGTCCAGTAATTGGTGTTTCAAGAGTTGTATGCTTGTGATTTCATTCCTTGTAATAATCACATCATCAACATAAAGTAAGAGAACAATAAAATCAGAAACAGTTGATTACAGAAAGAGAGCAGAATCATGATCACTGGCATGAAAATCCGAATCACAGATAACTGAAGAGAACTTGGCAAACCATGTCCTAGGAGCCTGTTTAAGGCCATACAAAGTCTTTTGAAGCTTACATACTTGACCGGGGTTACTAGCTAACCCCGGAGGAGTCATAAACACCTCTTCAAATTGCCATGTAGAAAGACATTTTTCACATTCATCTGAGACAAACTCCATTAACAAATGCCAACCATTGCAATCACAGTGCGAACAATAGTCATCTCGATAAGTAAGGCAAAAGTCTCATCATAGTCCAAACTATACTCCTGAGCAAATCCCTCCGCTACAAGGTGAGCCTTATACCTTTTCATAGACCCATCAGATTTGATTTTGATTTTATAGACCCACTTACAACCGATGGTGCGTTTGTTAGGGGATAAGTACACCAATTCCCAAGCTTGGTTTGTATGTAGAGCAGATGGTTCCTCATCCATAGCCAGTTGCCAAAGAGGATCAACTACATCCTCCTTATAAAAAGTGGATTCAGAAAGAGAGTGAATAAAAGTGATAAATAAGCAAAAATTTGAAGAATAACAAGAGTTAGAGAAACCAAAAATATCTGTACACTTTTGAAAGCATCGAGGATATTGACAAGTAGGATCTACAGTCTGAGAACTTGGTTGAGTGACTGGAGGTGAAGAGGGAAGTACTGCATCTGTAGAATTGGCAACATAAGTCTTGCAAACTTAAGTATGAACAATAGGAGGATGAGTAAGAGTTAAATCAAAAGAAAAGGAAGATGATGGCAAGTCAAACACAATAATATCATCATGTGTTAGTGGGAACATTAGCAGGAAAGGGGTCAATATAAATGAGATCAGATTTATGTAGAGAGGAGGAACTAGACAGAATGAAAAGAAATGAAAATGTTCCATAAAAATAGCATGATGAGAAACATATAGCTTACATGTAATAGGATTATAGCAACGATACTCATTTTTACCCTCCCCGTAACCAAGAAAGGCACATAAAGCTTATCGAACAGAAAGTTTGGTACGAATATCACAAGGAAGACAGACAAAACAAGTACAACCAAATACATGCAAGGAAAAATAATCGGGTGGCTTACCACACAATTTTTTGAATGAAGATATACGAGAAATGAGAATGGTAGGAAATAGAAGTTAAAAGGGGCTGGGGAAATTTGCTGACAACATGAGAGAATGAACTGACTCTAGAACGTGGCGGTGTTTGCGCTCAGCAACACCATTCCGTTCGGGGGAGTCAGTATAGAGGGAATGATAAGTAGTACCATCAGATTACAAAAAAAAGTATAGGAGTATTCACCTCCTTGATCATATGGAAACATTTAATAACAGCGGACTACTGAGTGTGTACCATAGCACGAAAAATAATGAATTATGAAAAAGAACTTAGATCGACATTTCATCAAATATACCCAACATTACTTGGTATGTCATCAGTGAAAGATATAATATCTGGATTCTCCTTCTGTAGGAATAAGAGCAGATCCCTATATATTATTATGAACAAGATCAAATAGTACAATAGAGCTAGTAAAACTCTTATTAAAAGTTAGTGTAGTAAACTTGACTAATTTGCATCTACTACAATTCGAAATGCCATGACACTCTAAACTCTCCAAATTACCAGTAGAAGTAAAAAATTTTAAATGTGAATGAGAAACATGACTAAGACGAGAATGTCACAAATAAAAACTAGACGGCTATAGACTCAAACAAAAAGAAGATCGATTAACATTCAAAGCTGCAATATTTGGAACATGTATCTTTTCTAATGCATACATATAGTTCTCCCTTTCTACGGCATGTCTTAATCAGCTTCTTGGACCGTGGATCTTGCACAGCACAACTAGAAGAAGAGAAATGAACCAAGAATCTAAAATCAAAAAGTTGACTAACTAACATTAATTTCAATGTAAGTTAGGGAATATAATAGACATCTGGAAGAGTAAGTTAGGAAGAAGTAAATGACCCAATACTAGAGGAAGACATTTGAGTTTCATTGGGTGCAAGCATAGAAATAGAAGGATGAGAGATAATAGAAGCAAATAAAGATGAATTACTTGTCATGTGATGTGTAGCACCTAAATAAAAAAACCAGGTGGTTCGAGATATACCTGAGGGACCCGAATGGAACACACTTATAGAGGGAGTGATTGTGAGAGCACCACGCTGATGGAAAGAGATTACCTTCTGCAAGTGCAACTAATCAGCAATCATGGTCGGGGTGGGAGATAATGTGGAACAATCATCCACCGGTGGTGCAACAGCTGTTGTATGACAATCTCTAGAGTTATATAGCTGTTTTGGGCATTGGGCCTTCCAATGTCCCTTCCTATGACAAAAGTTACACTCATTCGAAGTAGCTAGAACTCGATAATTATCACTAATTAGTTTCACACTCATTGTCTGAAGAGAGTCTGAGATACCCTTTGCCATAATTTCAATAATAAAAATTCAACTAGAAGCAAAAATTCAAATATGAATCTCATAGTTGGCAACTGAACAATAGACCCAAGATTGAGCCCAAAGTAAAGCCCAAAACCTCTAGTGTAGCCCACCAGAATATTGATATAAACAAAAACAACAGGAGCCCAATATCAAGACTCAGCAAACTACTCATCAACCAGACAAACAACGTAAGCCAAAGCCCACAGCAACCAACCCAATCCAAAGCCCACAACAACCAACCCAAGCCAAACCACCAGACAAAATTCAAACCACCCAGCCCACTGTTCAGAGAACACAAGCCAAAAGTCAACGTCAGAGAGTTCCTTTTCAGCGAACTCCTGTGATACCACTGTTCAGTGAGTTCCCATACAATAGCAACCCATAAATCCAACAAAGCCAGCAATAACCCAAGCAAAAACTAAGCCACAGATATGAGAATCAAACAAATTAGGGAGAAATAGCAGCAAAGAATCAACCCAGCAGCAAGGAAGAACAACTGAAGTAGAAAGGAAGACTGTCAAACCCAAGATCAAGCCTATATTCAACTCAAATTAACTCCAAATGCTTCAAAACTATTAAAGTTTCAATCAAAGGTCTAAATCGATTCCTATGGACTGGATTTCAACCCTCATATTCAAAGAAATCTCCCAAAATCTCACATCGAAGAGTTTTTCAAAAGACTTACCAAATAACCTCGAAATCAAAACCAAACATACCATTGAGAAGCTCATGCAAAATCGAGTGGAGAGGTCATCTCTCTTGCACCAGATTGCTGACATCATCACGTTTGATGATGGCATCATCAAGTCCAATGATGATGTCAGCTGTAAAGCTTCATCCGAAATTTTTTTCTGTTGAGTTCTATAATGCTTTAACTGTGTTTAGGAATTGTAATATATTCTGATACCATGTTAGATTTTACCAAACAAGAGAGAATAGAGAGAGAAAAGAGAGAAAATATATTTATATCACTATTAGTCTGTACGGTTACAATGAATACTAAAATGTATAGGCGCTTATATAGTAGGGCAACACAAAACAAAAAATAATTAAACTAACCCTAACACTAGAAATACTAGACTACTCTAACAAATAGCAATGTTTCTGTGGATGAGACCGAGAGAGGTATTGGTATTGAGTGATAAAGTGATGTGGGATGAGAAGAAGAAGAAATCAGAGAATAGAATAAGAAGAAAGAAGCAGGGATTTACCTAATCCTTGCAACAAGCCACTTAAGAAACACACAATTCTTAAACAATTCATTTTCATACTTTAATGAAACAATATGGATTACAAGATTTTTTATATATTGCTTCCTACCAGCACCAAACTTACTCTCATACTAAAACTCTAACTAGAAACTTGTAATAGATTAAATCTAGCTAACCAAATGGTCTAATAAATAAATAATAAAAGTACTAATGAAGTCCTAATAAAATGTGACACCAAACGTTGACACTCCGCAATCTAGAAAAGCTAACCGTAGTTTCATCGGAGGACCAAAAATATTGATGTCAGATTTCATTTCTTTCTTGAAATTATGACTCAAGGAGCCATTATAGTGGAGAAGGTTGCTACAGCACTGAATTCAACAAATATGTTAGTTAAATTCATTGGGTGTTACCAAAAGAGCTTATTGGATGTACCATCTACATTTGACAGCTCCATTGGACGGGTGAAGAACTAAAAAGAAAAAGAAAAACGTAGTGGGTATAGCAAAAGCATATACCAATTAATTTTAAATGAGAAAATGTAGTAGCCTATCCAGCGAGGGATACTCTCAAGCTTGATTCGTTTTTATATATATATTGGAAAATCGAGTGTAAAACTACACTTTAATATGTAGTGTTTGAGTTGTACCCTTAGGGGTTTGTGGAGAAGGTAGGTAGACATGATCACTTTTGTTTCATGGTTTGATTGAATGCAAGGCAAGGTGGAGGATAAAAATTTTCGTTAAGGTGGCGAGCATTTGTTGGATAATGATATAGTTTAATTTTAGTAGGCCTTTTATTTCCTACTCATTCTTGGAGAACAAATATAGGTTATTGTGCCTATAATACGTAACCAACCATTCCAATTTTTTGTAGTTGTTCTCCTACTCTCGTTTCAGATAGTTGTTTTGTAATTTTCATCATTGATAGTGAACTTTTGTTGTTGTATTTTACCCGTGGCGTAGGCATTCGAGCCTAACTATGTAATCATTTGTGTTATGAGCATTTTTGTTCTGTTTTGATATTTGTTTGTGACCTCATGCTTAACATTGCTAAAAGCTACATTTACTCTCAATTAAACCTTTGTCTCATATGTTGATAAATGAGTTATTCATGATATCTGTGTATTCAGAATTATCTATGAAGTTTCTATGTTTTTATGTATCTATTCTTTTTCAATTACCGTCAGCATCTATGACTTTTTGAACTATATTTACTGACGACCTAGTAATTTCTTAACCTTATGATTCTCCAACGTGTTACTAGATGGTAAAAGCAAGGACTTGTTAACCATGAACCAAGATGAAGAGGAGTGGTTGGAATACCAAAAGGTAATGGACGATGTCATTAAAAGGAGTGGACTCAACAAGAGTATCTTTTATGATCTTAGAGGGAACCATGATAATTTTGGTGTACCAGTCGTTGGTGGCTCGTTTGATTTCTTTTCAAAGTATAGCTTCACTGGGCGATTGGGAAGGAGTGGACTAGTTAATAGTGTCACTGTTGAGGTTAGTTATTCTATTGAACTCTAATTGTTATTGTTGTTATATGGTAGAGCCATTGTCATTGATATTAAGTTGCAGAATGAATTACTTTTTGGTTTTATTTTGGGTATCGTGATATATAATCACTAAGCTAAACTTTTTTTGTTTTCTTCCCCTTTAAATTTTGCGATAAGTCATTACATTCCCTAAGAAGCGGCCGTATTAACTTTTGTTTGACTATTTTTGCATCAGATGAATTTCTTCACACTTCTCAAAATAAAGACTTCTTTCTTATGGCTCATTTCTCTTGTTGTTTTTTATGTTATGTAATCCTAAAGAGAGTTTTGGATTTTTTTTTTGGGGGGGGGGACCTATTGAAATTTTCTTCCAATTCTTCTTTTAAGTTCTAGTCGTGTTTGTTGCTATTTCACCGATTCAAACCAAGAGTCTTTTGGTATTTTTGTGATTCACTAAGTTGTGTTAGTTCCTTTTTTTATGATATCGAAAATATTTAGTGCCTGTTTGGTTATTTTCTCAAATAACAATACTTAAAAATATGTTTTCGATAATAGTTTTAGAAATTTGTGTTTTGATTTTTTTCTTATCTCAAAACACATTTGGTTATGATTCTGAAAATTGTTTTGAAAGACAAAAAATAGTAAAACATGCTTGGATAGTGATCCAAAAAATAATAAAAATAGGGTATATAAGTTGAATTGACTATTTGGTAAAAATCTTCTGAAAAATAGCACGAAGGTGAGGGCGGGGGTGGGGTGTGGTATCACGGTTTTCTTTCTCAACTAGTATTATATCACATGCAGCCAAACAAGATTTATTCACAAAACTCTCAACATTGTATTACCTAATTTTAGAAATTAACCCACGTTTTCCAAAAATAAGAAAACCCAAGGACAAAGGGTAAGTGTTGAGTGCCCATGGACAGATCTCAGTCAACAAAAAATTAACTTCAAAAGTTGAATATGCAGCAAAGATCCCTCACTGTGAAGAACAACAAAATAAAGCTAACAACATAGATCCTAAATTTTGATTTGCATAGCGCTAGATCAATTCAAGAGAGTATGCAAAATCAATTGACGTGACAATACAAAACACATGGAAACACATTGTTCAGGAACTTGTTATATTATCTGACCTTTTCTCGCGCAGCTTGTACCACTTGAAGGGCCGGAGCTTCGTATGAGACTCGGAGGGGGGGGGGTTGAAAGGATCACTTAATTGGAAGTGGAGTGAAATACAAGGAAGAAAGGGAACAAAATTTGCCTTTTAAATGATGGCTTTAAGTGCAAAGTAGATTGCGTCCCGTGTTTTCAATTTTTTTTGAAATTGTCTCAAAATTGGCAAAAAACATGTTAGTATTCTCTGAAATTCTGACTTTTTGTTCTTAGTTTTGAAAAATTGAAACAGAGAGGTTAAAAACTCAATCTAGCCCTCATACATCATTTGTATTTATAGTTAACTCACAATAATATGAATTACACATACATCCTCTTTTATTAATAATTTATACATACTACCCTAATATTCCTAACACTCCCCCTCAAGTTGGACTATATATATCATATAATCCAAGCTTAGAACAAATCGCTGTAAAACGTGTACGACTCAATGCTTTGGTAAACATATCTATAAGTTGATCTTCAGATTTCACAAATGGAGTTGTAATCTCTCCAGCTACTTTCTTGTCCCCGAATAAAGTGACAATCAACTTCAATATGTTTGGTTTTCTCGAAAAACACCAGATTGACAACAATATGAATAGCTGCCTGATTGTTACAGAACAACTATAAAAGAAGTCGAACTAGAAATCCAATTTTTTGGAGGAAGTGTAATAGCCAAGTCAACTCACTCGTCGTATGCGCCATTGCCTTATACTCGATTTTAGCATTGGATTTTGCTACCACAGATTATTTTTTATTTTTTCATGAGACAACGTTACCTCCTAAGAAAATACAATAACCAGTGGTTGATCTCCGATCAGAAGGAGAGCCAGCTCAATCAGCATCTGAGAAACCTTCCACTCTAAGATGTCCATTAGCTCGATATAACAGTCTAAGTCCAGGGGCACGCTTGAGATATCACAGAATACGAGTAACTACCTCCCAATATGGTACTCTAGGACATTCCATGAACTAACTTACTATACTGACTGCATAGGAAATATCCGGTCGAGTAATAGTGAGATAATTGAGTTTCTCAACCAATCTGCGATACTGACCCGAATTTTCAAACAGTGCCCCATCATCTATCAAAAGTTTCTAATTTGGATCCATAGGAACATCAATAGGTTTGTCACCCAGCAAACCTGCTTCCTCTACCATGTCATGTATATATTTCCTCTAGGATAAACAAATACCCTGTTTTGATTGAGTCACCTCAATACCCAAGAAATACATGAGTTTTTTCAAATCCTTAGTATGAAATCGATCCTGCAAGAATATTTTTAATTTTGCAATTCCCTTATAATTATTTTCAGTAATCACAATATCATCTACATAGACTACTAATAGAATATATCTAGCATATGTCTATCTATGAAACACAGAATGATCTGTCTAACATCGAAGAAGACCGAACTCTAAAAATGCATTTGAAAATTTACCAAACCATGCCCTCGGTGACTGCTTCAAACCATACAAAGATTTCTTTAACAGACATATACTCTTACCATACTCCCCCTGAGCAGTAAACCCAAGTGGCTGCTCCATGTATACCTCTTCAACTAAGTCACTATGTAGGAAGGTATTCTTCACGCCTAACTAAAACAAGGGCCAGTCAAGATTAACAGCCAAAGAAATCAAAATACGAACAGAGAAAATTTTGGCAACAGGAGAGAGTCTTCTCATAATCAACACCATAAGTTTGAGTAAATCCCTTTGCAACATGCCGGGCTTTAAGACGCTCCACAGAACTATCCGAATTAAATTTAACAGTATACACCCAACGACAATCAACAGTTCGTTTATTAGGAGGTAAATGAATGAGATCCCAAGTTCCATTATGATGTAAGACATTCATCTCCTCCATAGTTTTTCTCTAACCTGGATCAGATAATGCATCTTATAAATGCTTAGGAATTGATATAATAGATAATTAGGAAGTAAAACAAGAGAAGACAGGAGACAAGACATCATATGAAACAAAATGAGCAATGAGATGATTAGTAACACACGAACGAGTACCTTGTCGAAGGGCAATAGGTAAAGAGTCTAAATTACCTGATGTACTAGGATCAGAAGGTGGCAAAGAAGACGGTACGGATACCTCAGTCGATGGGCGAGGATGGCAATAATAGACACGGAGAGGTAAAGTAGATGGTAACACAGTAGGCAGCGGAATATTTGAAGATGAGGAAAGAGATGGCGGTGCAGGAGATGGCCAAAAGTCCAAATTTAAAGGCTGAGAAGGTGCTAAAAAATATAGAACAGATTCCTCAAATATGACATCGACACTAGTAAAGTATCGGCGCAGAGAAGGACTGTAGCATCGATACCTCTTCTGCGTGCAGGAGTAACCAAGAAATATATATTTGGTAGCTCGAGGGTCAAGTTTATTAAACCCAGGACCTAAATTGTGAACATAATAGACACGTCCAAAAACTTTAGGAATCAGGAAAAATAAGGGCTTACCAGGAAAAATGACAAAATATGGACTTTGTCCATTTAACACAGAGGATGACATACGATTAATAAGGTGACAAGCAGTAAGAATAGCATCACTTCAAAAATATCGAAGAATATTTATCTAGAATAATAGGGCACAGGTGACTTCCAACAAATGACGGTTCTTGCGTTCAGCAATACTATTCTGTGGAGAGGTGTAAGCACAAGAAGTCTGATGAATAATGCCAGTTTTATTAAGATAAGCTGAAAAATGATCAGATTCATATTCCCGAGCATTATTGGAACGTAAAGTACGTATACGACAACCATACTGAGTTATTATTTCCTTACGAAAGGTTTCAACTATAGAGAGTAATTCAGACTGAGCTTTTATAAAAAACAACCAAGTCACACAAGAATAGTCATCCACAAATATCACAAAATAAAGATATTTATTAGATGAAATATTCTTTATTGGACCCCATATATTAGAATGTACTAACTCAAATGGACTAGACACACGATTTTTGACTCTAGACTAAAATGACACATGGTGATGCTTACTAAGTTGACAAACTTTACAAGATAAAGACGACATATAACTAAGACTGGGAACTTGGCGCTTCAGATGCTGGAGAGAGGGATGTCCAAGACGATAATGCTAATGAAAAGAAGACAACGAGGTCTGTAGAGCGCGGGTAGGTGAATCAAAGTCAAGGTAATATAGACCACCAGCTTCATGCCCCGTACTAATCTTCCTCTTCGTCTTGAGATCTTGAAAGACACAATAAGAGAGACAAAAGGTTACAGAACAATTGAGAGAACGAGTAATCTTGCTAATGGAAAGTAAATTAAAAGGAAACTGAGGAACAAATAATACAGAAGATAGAGATATATTAGGACTCAAGTGAGTAATCCCCAGAGCTAAAACTTTAGAACAAGTACCATTAGAAAGAGTAACACTACGTGTGGAAGTAGTAGATTGATAAGTAGAAAAAACATTAGACGCACTAGTCATGTGGTCAAAAGCGCCAGAGTCTATGATCTAGGGATTGCGAGTGGAGGATAATAAATAAAAAGCAGTACCTGACTGGGCAAAAGTAGCAGTGGAGGGAGATGTAACCGACCTAGTGTCTGGTGGAGCTGATCGAGGTATGGAAGCAACAACAAAGGTATCATCCTGATAGGAAGCCTGATTCGCAGCACCAGAAGGTTTTCCTTGCAAATTTCAACAGAAATCAATAGTGTGCCCTCCACGGCCAAAATAAGTACAAGAACGAGGTCAACTACGGCCCTCACGACCACCCGTACAACCTCCTGGACCACCATGACCACTACGACCATCTCGGTGACCATCACTATGGCTACTAGGAACCACAAGAACTTAGCGATTAGTGGAGACATCATGATCGATGCCGGTAGTAGACA